GTGCTCAGCGGGATATCGGCTTGAGATTCTCTCCCTCTTCCCCTCTCCCACTTTCTCTCTCTCTTGCAAATAAATCTTTCTTTTTTCTTTTTTTAAAGTTTCATTTATTTATTTGAGAGAGAGAGAGAGAAACAGAGCACAAGCAGAGGGAACTGAAGGCAGGGGGAAAAAGCAGGCTCCCCGCTGAGCAAGTAGCCTGATGTGGGGCTCTGGATCATGACCTGAGCTGACGGCAGATGCTTAACTGACCGAGCCACCCAGGTGTCCCAATAAATAAATCTTTAAAAAGAAATAGAATAGGCCCACTGACTTATAAACAGCATAAAAGAGAACTTCTCTTAAGTCACACACTAAATGTGGCCATCAGTGTGCAAAATATAGTAATGAGGTTAAAAATATAAAATTATTTCCATAAGAATATCTAGAGGAAAATTAAAACAATAGATCTGGTAAATCTAGATACTTGATAATTAAAAAAATGTATAAATCTTAAATTACTGGCACCAAAATTTTAAAATGGTAGGATCCATAACATGATCATTTTCTTGAGGGCACATTTTTAGCTGCTTTTGATTTGTATAAATACAGTATCCTAGTAGAGAACACAAATACTGTTTTCTTAGTACAATTGCAGTATAATTCAGCAGGACTTTTGGTGACCGCTGGAGGTCACCTTAAATCGTAAATTATAACATTCTGCAGTCTTGTAAAATGTGTTCTATGTATAAGTATAAAAACCATGAAGAAATATTTCTTTTAAAAAGAGCAGCTATGATAATCTGTCTCTAAATATTCCAAAGCAGCCAACTTCTGAGGAATTTCTATGGTGTCTGTGAAGTCAGTCACCATATTCTTTCAGCAGATTGAAGAGTTTTTTTCATGACTGGTCAAAGATTACTTCTGTGATCAGTGATAAATGTACACAGTAACTGACCAAAATGCCTTCTTTACAGGATGCAATTCATTCATAATCTTAATCCATCTTTAGTTTTATGCTTAGGAAGTGCTTTCCACCTGTGACCACTGGCCATGCATGTTCTTTACAGTCCTAAGTCCTCTTCATCACAGACAGATCATCTACTATCATATTTGTAACATACAGCAGAAGTCTCTAACTGTCCCTTGGGATTGATCTTGTGTAATGGTACAATAAAAATTTGTTCCAAAGATGTAAAAATGTAACCCTTCCAGGTAGAACTAAGTTGTAGTATTTCTAAATCCCAACCTTTTTGCCCAGGGTTCTTAGCAGAGGTAAAGTGATAAACATCTTTGACGTTTATTGTGTCCTTAAACTCTTGTTTTGTCTTGGCAAAAGAGCTGAACTATCACCCTGGCCCTGTTACGTCATCTTCAAATAAATTCACATTGAGTAGCTCCCTGAAATTGTACTTAGGATGCTACACTGATACTAATAGAGTCTACGTTAAGTCATTACAAAACTGTGGAACCCCATCAACTCCATCTTATTTTCACCTTGTGGCACATTGCTCTTATTCTAGCTTCTTCTAGTCCATAGAATGAGTCTGGGTTTTGGAGGAAGTCATCGCTGGAGTTCACTCATTCTGTGTTAAGCAGTATAATGTGTAGCAGTTCTTCCAGCAGCCTGAATAAATGCCAAGACTGGAGGACTTTGTTTTTCTAAGACAGTTGAAGCCTATGCTCACTTGGCACTTCTGTGGGGCTGAAGCTCCCCGCCCACTGGTGTCCTTCTTTCTGTGGCCAGCTCTGTAGGTCCAGGCCACCAATGACTTCAATTTAAATAGATGTCAGAAAACCACTATCCTTGCTGATACTCCACGTGAGTAGTTCGTTCTCTGATAGACTCTCAATCGGGGTTATGGAGCCAAGCCTTTATTTTTCATAATAATTTTCCACCAACAGGTGGCGCTCATAATTCCCTTTCTTTTAATAGAACCCCAGTAATAGGCTTATGTGGCCTTTAGAACATACCTTTTGCGCTTTTCAAGGTGCCGCATCCAGCATTTTTTATCAAATCTTTAGCATATTTCCTTTCTCTTGGATTACGGGCTCATAGTTCCAGACTCTTTCGTTCCTGGTCTGAGCACTTTGTTTGGCTTTCCAACAAAACAAGATGAGCAGAAGTTGTGAGAAAAACACCGGGCCATTAGTTGAGGCTCCTTTCCATGGAGGAAAGGATGACAATGTTGACTGCCTGGGCTGGAGATGGTAACTCAATTTTGAACAAATTTACTCAGCAGTTATTGCAGATCTACTCCATGCAGAGTACTGTTCTATGCTTTCTGAGACCTAGGACCTACTCTCAGAGTTTACACTCTGAGACAAGACAGGCACACAAAGTAAATATGAGTTCTATAATCCTTTTCCATGTACAGCACATGTATAGGATTGTATTAACTGAAGAGTGAGCAAAATGCTATGAGTGCATATGGGTGCAATTTATTATCCCTATTTTAGAGATGAGAATGTAGAGGCATAGAGAGGCTAAGTAGCTAGTGATGTGGGTGGTTTGCTGAAGCATATTCATTTTTCTGCTCCCAAAATAAAAATATCATGTGAACTACAACTATTTTTTCAAAACCTGGAAAATGGGATACTGGCGTCTGCCTCACTCCCTAGAAGAGAGCAGAGGCAGAGCTCACTCAGTGTAAGCGATAAGGGACTGCGTGCCCCAGGTCTTACAGGGACAGGTATTCTTTAATGTGAAGCTAAACCTCCTCGTTCTCTCAGTCAGACAAGGGTTCTGTGAAGGAAAACCACAGCTCTGACTCTTTTGGGGAGCACAGCATGCTCAGAGGAGCGGCATGGCTTACATGGGAAGCATGAGCCTCCTTGAGAGGCCAACTTTTACTGAAGTCTAAAATCTGCCACTGTTGGCCATTTGGGCATGTAATACTCAGACCTCAGTTTCTTTTCGTGCAAAATGGGGGCAATGGTACCTACCTCATGGGCGTATTGGGAGAATTAAATAGGATGATGAAAAATGCTTGGTGGTGACCACCACAACAAGGGCTACTGTTTCCCTGTGCTTATTCTGTGCAGCGTGCCTGGTAAATAGGAAGTGCTTAATTAATGGAGCAGTTTATACTTATTACTGTTACTTCGCTCATCTACCCTATCTCATTGCTCTGCAAATCACCGTTTTCCTTCTCTTTCTCCAGCCACACTCCACACCCTTCACCCTCAGATGCTACCCTGTTCTCTGTCCTCTCCTAAGTCCTCATTTCTGCTATCTCCTGACACCAGATATCAGTGTCCCCACAACAGTTTGCAAACATTTCAAATCCAACTGTTCGATCCTAGTGTTCTCTCGAAAAAAATTCCAGTGCTCAAAATTTTAGCTTTTGGTTTAGAAATAGAAGTTTATCTAGTTTGTTGTTAAACCGTGTGCTTTTAGAGTATGATCTCAATATTATGGGGGTGATTAGAAAGGATGAATGCCAAAACCACTGGGCCTTTTCCAGAGTTAAAGAATGGTGTAATTTTGTGAAATAGAGGAAATACGCATTTTGAATGGGATTTAGAAACCTATTACTCACTTCCCTTTCCTTCCTGCAGAGATTACTGAGAACGTTAAGTAACAGTTTATGAATTGACTCAGCATCACTCACTGGACTGTTAGTCATTAAGTGTGCTCTAAAAGTGGTGCCTTCAAGGACTGCTTAGTTGGGTATGGCCAGCCTCTAGCAGCCACGTGCATGTGGGGCCTGGGAAAGCTCACCCAAGAGACTAATGGGAATGTTGCCACATTCAAAGTGCATAGTTCCTTTGGGGGTAATCTGATCACTGACTAAAAATGTGGTGGTATTGAGAAATTGTGGTTTTAGGTGTAATAATCGTAGTTACATATATATATTTTAAAAAGATTTTATTTATTTTATTTTTATTTTTTTAATTTAAATTCAATTAATTAATGTATAATGTATTATTAGTTTCAGAGGTAGAGGTCAGTGATTCATCAGTCTGCCCTCCTTTATTTTATTTTAATCTTTAAAGATTTTATTTATTTATTTGACAGAGAGAGAGCGAGAGCAGGAACACAAGCAGGGGGAGTGGGAGAGGGAGAAGCAGGCTTCCCGCAGAGCAGGGAGCCCGATGCGGGGCTCTATCCCAGGACTCTGGGATCATGACCTGAGCCAAAGGCAGACACTTAACAACTGAGCCACCCAGGCGCCCCTGCCCTCCTTTATTTTAGAGAGAAAAAGTGAGAGAGTGTGTGCACACATGCATGTGGAGGGGAGGGGCAGAGGGAGAGGGAGGGAGAGGGAGAGAGAAACCCAAGCAGACTCCATGCTGAGCATGAAGCCCAATGTGGGGCTTGATCTCACAACCCTGAGATGAGACCTGAGCCAAAACCAAGAGTTGGATGCCCAACTGACTGCCCAACACAGATGCCCCTGTAGCTGTATTTTAAAAAATAATTGTTATCTTTGAAAGATACACACTGAAGTTTGAATTGATAAAATGATAATGATGCTTGAGTTTTACCTCAAAATAACATAGTTCAGGGGGCCTGGCTGGCTTAGTCCGAAGAGCATGCAACTCTTGATCTCAGGGTTGTGAGTTCAAGCCCAAGGTTGGTCATGGAGCCTACTTAAATAATAATCTAGTTCAGAGTGAGGGGGCTAGTGAGGGATATAGTTGGAAAAAGATTGACTGTATCTGAGAATTGTTAAAGCTGGGTGATAGGTACATGGCAGCTCCTTATATTCTTCTGTTTTTGTATAATTTTGAAATTTTCTGTAATAGAAATGAATTCTTAGGTGCATCGTCCTGAGCAAGACTTGAAAGGCTCATCTCTGAGTAGCAGTGGGTGAGTTTTAGTACCAAGACCAAGTGCCATTCTGTGGTTGTTCAAGAACTTATAGGCTGGTGCAGCGATCCTTGGTGAGCTTTCCATGGTGTCAGGTAGTGTGTTTGGGTCACATGTTGGTGAACATGCTGCCCATGCCCAAAGAATATTGAATGAGTAAATGAAAGTAAAGAGGCCCAAAGCCCTGATGCTCTTCTTATCTTTGCAGCGGAGCCCAGGGGGAATATGCTGGGCTGGCCACCATCCGAGCTTACTTCGACGGGAAAGGAGAGGGACACAGGACAGTGAGTATGGACAGGTGGTGGGTGCTCACCACCGGGTGGCAGTGGGTCCAACTCTCTCCCTCTAAGCCTTCTTGTAAGCAGCTAGGGAACATATAATCAAGAGACAGATTTCTTTGAACTGGCCATTACGGTCCTTGTCCCCAAGACATTTCACTGGACCATTTTAAGAGAAAACATTTGCTCAAACCCAGTGTGTAAAAGTCAGCCGGTTTTTAGATTCTTCATTATAAAATACAGGCAACTAGCCATAAATAATCTTGTAGTTTTAATAAAACCAGAAATGGACTGAGATTGGGCCACCACCTACTGTACCCCACTTACTTGGGCAGCCAGAACAAACCTGGAACCCTTTTCTCTAACTCTCCTGGGAGCAAAGGAAGGAAAGGACAGGAATGTTACAATTCCAGGTCTTAGGCCTGGACAAAGGGCAGAGACCAACCTTTAACTGTTTTGTAACTCCTATACTGTGACTAGGCACAGTTCTCGTTTCTGTATGCTCAAAAAATTTTTATTGAGGGGTGCCTGGCTGGCTCAGTTGGTGGAGCACGTGACTCTTTTTTTTTTTTTTTAATATTTTATTTATTTATTTGACAGAGAGACAGAGAGGGAACACAAGCAGGGGGAGTGGGAGAGGGAGAAGCAGGCTCCCCGCTGAGCAGGGAGCCCTATGCATGACATGAGCAGAAGGCAGATGCTTAACCAGCCACCCAGGCATCCCGGACCATGTGACTCTTAATCTCAGGGTCATGAGTTCGAGCCCCACGTTGGGTGTAGACATTACTTTAAAAAAGTAGAGGGGGAGGGAGAGAGAGAATCCTGAGCAGGTTCCATGCCCAGCGCGGAACCGGACGTGGGGCTCAATCCCACGAACCCAAGATCACGACCCGAGCTGAAACTTAACTGACTGAGCCACCCAGGCACCCCATAAATAAATGTTTAATAAAATATTTACTAAATAAGTAAATTCCCTATTGAGAATTGTCATCTCTAAGCAGCAAAAGAAGACATGGAACAGAGTTCATGGTTCTGCTTCAGTTTTTGCTTTGGGTATGAGAGTCTAGTCTCCAGGGTCCAAACTGCACTTGGGGCCTCTGTAGGGACCAGCAGAGGTGCTAATGGTCTTGACTGGACTCCACTAATCCCCAGAGGCAGTGCTTCTAGCAGTTATCTGACCTAGGCTTCCAAGTGTGGTAAAAGAGACTATGTTTCTGAGGTCTTCATTTTGGTGATGAGCAACAGTAAGCTAGAACTTCCACTGAGCTGTAGACATGGAGTTCTTCTTCTTTTTTTTTTTTAATGGCTGTATTCTAGTAAACCTTTATTTATGGAGACCGAAATTTGAATGTCCCATAATTTTCATATGTCAGGAAATAATGTGGATTTTTTTCAACCTTTTAAATTAACTCACAAGTCATATAAAAACAGTAGTGGATTGATACAGTGTTGGCTTGTAGGTTGCAGTTTTCTGACCCCTGCTCTAGCAGAGGAAAGCACACTTGACGGCAAACTGTGCATAAGTATAGAGAAACAAAAAGGACTGCTTTGACGTTCAAGAAACGTTCTTGCAGGCATTCCACGGATTCCGTGATGTTCGAGAAATGTTCTAGCAGGCATTCCACAGATTCCGTGATATCTGAGGGTCATTCCCCATTTATGGAGAAGTAACAAAGCGCAGCGAGACTCATTCACACCAGGTGGTAAGCACCTGCCCTCGCTGCCTGTGCCCACATGGTTTGTTCCTCAGACAAGACCCCCCCACACACACACTTTCACTTTCTCTAATTTCACCATTTCCAAACGGAAGTCAGGCCAAAAATCAGAGCGCAGGTTCTAAGTATATGCCAAATTCTTAATATCAGGAGGTAGCTGTTCTTTTGTTATATTAGAAGGGAAAAAAAGACATATATTCATATACACAGAGCCTTGTGTAAGCACGCTTACAAATTCCTGCTGAGGTCTCAGAAGCTGAACTGTGGAAAGGAGGTCAAATTGGATAACGCAAGCACCCAAATAAAATGGCTTTCCTTGCCCATTCTCATGGCCCTCCACAGGCAGGCTTGGCAGTGAACAGGCCAGTACAGAGAGGACAGTGGGTAGGGGTTGGGAGCAGGACAAAAGTGACTGCCCATCCCAGGAGAGTTAGAGAAAAGGGTGCCAGGCTCGTTCTGGCTGCCCAAGTAAGTGGGGTACAGTAGATGGTGGCCCAGTCTCAGTCCATTTCTGGTGTTATTAAACTAGATTATTTATGGGTAGTTGCCTATATTTTGCAATGAAGAATCTAAAAACTGTTTTACTTCCCTTTCAAAAAGAAGGAGGGGAAAAAAAAGAACATTTTCTTCCTCCTTCTCCTGTTTATTTATCCTGATTCCACAAGTGTGTTTTCCCAGGCCTTTAACTTAGTTGGGCAGTCGAACTGATTTTCAAAGAATTTTGAAAAAGAGGACATTCATTAATTGAGTAATTATTCAATACTGGTCATATACAAGGTACTATGTGGGGTGCCTGGGTGACTCAGTTGGTTAAGCGACTGTCTTCAGCTCAGGTCATGATCCTGGAGTCCCAGGATCGAGTCCCGCGTTGGGCTCCTTGCTCAGCGGGGAGCCTGCTTCTCCCTCTGACCCTCCCCTGTCTCATGTGCCATCTCTCTCTCATTCTCTATCTCTCAAATAAATAAAATCTTTAAAAAAAAAAAAAAGGTACTATGTGTGCCAGTCCAGAGTTAAATCAAGTCATAACTAAGATAGACACAGTCCCTGACACACCAACTTGGTTTTTTTCACTTGGGTTTTCTAGTAGTTTTGAATTCTTTCATTTTCTTTCTTTCTTTTTTTTTTTTTAAATGATTTTATTTATTTATTTGACAGAGAGACAGAGAGGGAACACATGCAGAGGGAGTGGGAGATGGAGAAGCAGGCTCCCTGCAGAGCAGGGAGCCCAACATGGGACTTGATCCCAGGACCCTGGGATTATGACCTGAGCCGAAGGCAGATGCTTAACCTTAAGCCTGAGCCACCCCGACACCCTGAAATTTTTAATTTTCTAAGGAAGGGTTAGTTTAGAACTAGAATTTTTCTTTAGCATCAGAAAGGAAACACTGAAGCTCCCGTTGCCCAGGGAAAGGACACCAGGTGACTGACAGTAAAAGTCTCCTTTCTGTTTTTCCTCTCTGGCTTCCTCATGCTGAGGTAGCCACTGGAATGCCTCCTTGTTATCCTCTTTAACCACAAGGTGTCTGGGAAGACTGGGAAGGGATCCGTTCATCCTATGTGACCACGTTACCTCCTTTGCCTCAACCCCTCTCCTGCCCAGAGGCTTTGTAGAGAGACCTCGAGATCTACAATGTGGTGCTTATGGAAGGCTGGAGATGAGCTAATAACAAAGGGCCAGCTAACACCCAGGTTCCGTCTACTCCGTGATGCTTCCCATCCCTCATTGTTTCCTAGTTCACCAGTGTGACACCAGGAAATATCTGTGAATGTCCAGGAGTTGGGGACCAAACTGGAAAGGTCAAGGAGAAGGAATGAAAGAACTTTTGACTGCACCTGGGCAGAGTTCTTCACTAACTCCCAGACCCTTTCTTGCCCATTTTCCCTCTCTGTGTTTTTCAGTCCTCCCTTCTCTGTCTGTCCCCCTGTGTGTGATGTTTCTTCTCTCACCGTTGTCCACACTGCTATCACCGCGTGTCCTTGTTCTATTCTGAAGGACGGAGAACTCGATGCAGCAGTTTTGGGAGGGAGAGGCAGCGAAGGCTGCCCAGTCCCCGAGCTTGTAGAAATACAGAATTCTTAAGTTTGGAAATGTTGGCATCCTTTCTAGATTAAAGATGTTATTTAAAGCAGTGTTTTCAGTTGGAGAAGAAGAAAATGACTTATTGCTCAAATAATCAGGGAGGATTTTTCCACATCAGAGAAGTCCAAGGCAGCTGCTGCTGCACAATAGACTCTAATGGAATCCAGTAAAATATATCCTTCTTTTTTGAAAAGGAGTGTGGGGAAATCATGTGCTTCAGAACCTCCCGGGTTCCTGATAGTTCTTATTTCAAGCTGTTTTGGGCAGTTATTTTCACGTCTGCTCTTAGGTTAAATTTCAGAGGTTCCTAAAATGCAACAGCCAAGTTCCTGATTTACCAGTTTAATTTCGGAGAATATAAATTTATTTAACAAATACTTACCAGGCACTATCTGAAACCCTTTATAATTAATAATTCAATTTGCTAGTCAAATATTAACTCAGATTTGCTGATCAGAGATGAGATTCTTATACAAAGGGGAAACATTAACCCTTAGAAAACACCAAAAACCACCACCGCACCCCCTGCCGAACGTGTATGGAAGTATTTTTCTCTTCTCAACTGTCTGAGATGATGTAGTAGCCTTTGGTTGTTAGATTTTATTAGTGGTAAGAAATTTATTTCCCTTGCAAAGGAACACTGCTCCTTAATCCCTCATTCATTCAGCAAGTGTTGGAGGATGAGGTATGGGTTGGGTCTACACCAGGTACATTGCAGAGTTGGAAAAACAGAGCATCCATCTAAATGGGCATAAATGCACCAAAGAGGATTGTTTTAGATAAACTAAAGCACCAAATCTGGGTCCTGTTATTTCCATGTCCCTTGTGACCCCACAATTTTAAAGTGAGGAAAAATTACCATTAAAAATTCCCCAAAAAATTATTAAATAAAATTTCCTATTTCCGCATAGAAAACCAGAAATGTATAACAGCAACCTATAAATGAGTCATTGACAAAACCACTGAGACGTTTTTCTTTCTGATGCCTTACGTCAGGGTATGTATTACTTTCCTGTGGCTGCCGTAACAAATTCTCACAAACTTAGTGGCTTGACAAAACAAAAAATTATTTTCTCAGTTATGGAGTCCAGGAGTCTAAAATTGGATTTCTCTCGGCTACAGTCAAGGTGTTGGCAAGGCTACCTCCTTCTGGAGGATCCAGGAGAGAATCTGTTTCTCTGCCTCTCTGGAGGCCTTCTGCATTCCTTGGCTGGGGCCCTTCCTGCCATCACTCCATCCTCTTGTTCATTCATGAAATTTTCTACTTCCTTTGTAGTCAAACCTCCTTCTGCCTCCCTCTGCTCAGAATACTGGGGAATATATTTAGGGCCCAACTGATAATCCAGATTCCAAGATCCATAATTTCTTATCTGAAGAGCCTGATTTAATCACAAAGTCTGTTTTGCCATAAGGTAACATCCATAGATTCTGGGGATCAGGGTTGGGCATTTTGAGGGGCCCATTATTCAGTGTACCAAGGGATGGTTGACATTTTTACCTTGAATGTTTTTATTTCAGCAGAACTTCCCTGGTACAAATTCTTAATTTAGGCCTTTAACCAATATTTTATATTCATTCAAAATTTTTTAATTTGGGTATAGTTGACTATATACAATTTTAATATTTGCCTTTTCCTTCTTGATCAATGTTCTGCCCAGAAGGGCTCCTTTTATCCAAAGATCCTGTGGTAGAATAATAATAATTTATGGGAAAGGACAAGTGACTTTGGTTCTGAGAAATTAAAGAGTCAATACAATAGGGAAGCATTTAACCTAGAAAAAGGATTTGAGGACACACTGCATAACCAGCATGAGACCAATAACCATTCAAAAGAGGCATAAACTTTCTGTCAACAGAAGAGTGAGTTTGCCTTTGTGTACACGTGTGTTTTTCTTCAGTAGACAACTTTGCTGTTTTTGAGGAAACAGCTGTAAGCCAAGTTTCCCCTTCATAAATCCACTACTATAATGCCCATCCATTTCTCTTCAAGGGGTTGCAGTATTGGTCCTGGTATTTAAAAAAAGGAGGATTATTTTCAGAGGATTATTTTCATTGCTTCTCTTTGTTGCTTTCCATTGGGAAAAACTCTGTGATGCACTTTCCTGTAGCACAGCATCATCACATCTACCCCAGCATGTGTGTTTGCTTGTTCACATGATTTGTAGGAGGAAATGAAAATGATTTAAATCTGGGCATTCTAAAATTGTACCCACCATCCACCTTCTGTAAGAATTCAACTCATCTTTAAAGGCTAGCTTAGGCTCTAGCTCTGGAAATCCTTTCCCTTTACCTCTTCCACTTGAAGTGACATCCCTTACTCTGAGTTCCTGTGGCATCTGTTTATACATTTGCCAGCATTGTCCGTGAATACACGACATGCTTCCATGCTCACCTTATGATTCTTGTGGCAACTAACAGTTCAGTGCACAGAAGAAGCATCCAGTAAATGGTGACTGATGTATTAGCACTGGAAGGCCTTGGAATTATGTCTACCATTATCATCTCTTCCTGAATCTCAGCAAAGCAGAGAAGAGCACTGAAACTGTGATTTGGGCACTTGGGTTCTAGAGTTTAACTTCCAACTTCATGTTCTTATAAGATGCTTTCTACATATTATAACTGTGACAAGGTCACAGTAAGCCTGGGTCTGGTTTTTGGTATGCTGAGATAAGGGAGGAGAGTACTAATTAATATTTCAGGAGTCTTTAAAGAGCAATATTTGTGGATTCAGATGCAAACTCCTCTTTTGGACATTGTTTTACACTGTAGTAATATTGAAATTGTAGCAGATTTTAAGGCATTAGTGATCAGTTTAAATAAAGCATGTGGTGCCTATTTAATCTGTGTTCCAAGCATTTGTAGGACTTTTCTGCTGTGAATAGTCTGGTGATGATTTTTCCTCCTTCCTTTCATTCCATTCCTAAGGTTTGCCTCATTCCAAAATCAGCACATGGGACCAATCCCGCAAGTGCTCACATGGCAGGCATGAAGATTCAGCCTGTGGAGGTGGATAAATACGGGAATATTGACACAGCTCACCTCGAGGCCATGGTACCCATCTTCCACTAAACAGATGGGGGAAGTCTGGGTTGGGAAGAGGTGGTGGGGAGAAGGGACTAGATGGTTTATATCAACCTTATCTTTCTTTGCATTCTAATTAAAAGACTGCAGTTCCTCCTCTGAATGGGTCTGGGGAAAATGGAGTAATATCAGAAAACCTAACCGTCTCTATCAGAAAAATAGAAAGCAACAGTCACATTTTTGGTCCATAATAAAACCGAACATAGTCTGCTTCTTTCACTAACCGGGAGAAGGTCCTTTAAACTGAAATCCCATCCTCTTAATGCATATGTAAGAAACTGAATGAATTATTCATGGTCATAGTAAGGATACTCCTTGCAGGGCCTGCCTGCCTTCTCCTTCCTGCCCAACCTTCCTTCCCTTCCCCCATTAATAATCAAACTAGCAGTCACAGTTATTCTCAATCTTTGTGTTGGGAATTAAAACATAAATGTAGATTTTTGCAAATGTGTGTGACTGTCCCAGCCGTTACCTGCTGAATTTCGGGCAGCATTCCACCTCCTTCCTACAACACCAACCCCCACTCCCAACCTCCCAACCTCCAGGAAGAGGTTGCCTAGCAACTGTATCTGCTTTCCACTGGTGGACTGGAGGCTGCATCTTAAGAGGGAAGGAAATCAGTTGAATAGCAATGTGATTTTGTCAGGATTACTAGGCATGGAGACTGAGAACTTCATGCAACTGCCTTCAAAGGAAGCTGAAAACACACAGCACTGCTCATGTCTCCCATCCATGCCCACCCTTCCAGAGCCGCACAAAGTTTTTACCAACAGATATTCTGGGGCAGTAGTTGTAATTACTGAGTTTCCCCAATATAGGATATGACCTTTAAAAGATATTTTTTTTCATTTCCACATGAGCGTGCTCTGACTCACTGGCCAAAACAACAGGAATGTGCCTTTTATATATGTTTGCTTTCTGTGAAAAGGAAACATGAGGGAGATTTCTTTTTATCAGAGCAGAACACTCCTTATGGGAATTCTAATTTCAACAGAATGAGAGGGAAATGGAATAGGGGTGGATATGGCAAGATGAGCAGAGAGAGATTAGCTGTGAGAACAGACATGTCTGCAACCAAAAAGATCTGAAATAATTATTCAGATGACTAAAACCAAAGGAAAACTTTGGGGAGTTGAGCCTAAAATACCCAAAAATCTTCCTAATAGTCTTTTAGGTCTTTATCATGGAGACCTAGCCTGAAGGCATTTTGTTATTTCTTTGGAATTACTTAAGAGTAATGGCTGTGAATTGTTAGTGCCATCATACTTTGAGGGAATTCCAGACATGAAAAGTCCAAGACTTAATCTTTCCTAATCCTGTAAAGTAAAAAGAAAGGATCTGGCCAATAAACATTTCCTCCTTTGTCTACCTCTGCTCTTTTCTATCCCACAGGTGGATAAACATAAGGAGAACCTAGCAGCAATCATGATTACATACCCATCCACCAATGGAGTGTTTGAAGAGAACATTGGTGATGTGTGTGACCTGATCCACCAACACGGAGGACAGGTCTATCTAGACGGGGCAAATATGAATGCACAGGTAGGCAACACAAGAGGGACTCCCTGGGAAAATGGTTAAGTCAGAAGATGATTTTTTCCTCTGACTTCTGGACAGTTGTTTTACAACATATTAACTGAATTCAGAACTGTGGTTGGCTTTCTTTATTACCACTTTCAAGCAAAGTACTGCACTTTGACTGAGATTAGATTTGAAGGGGGCGATAGTGGAGGTTGGGGAAGAGGTAAAGAGATTGACAAAATGCAGGGAATGAACTGAATGTCCTTAGTTCGTCAGAGGTTGTGATCTCTCTTGGGGTGCTACCAGTAAGAAGGTCACTTGACTCCCTTTCTAAGGGAGTTCAGACCCAAATTCTGGCCACTGTGGATGTTCATGTCCCACAACATCCCATGACAATGAACAAGCCATTAATCTGGCTTCAACTTTTTCAGTGTAAAGTGACTGAATAATTCTGTTCCTGAAGGGCCAATCCGGATTCCTGATTACTTGTGTGTGTGTGTGTGTGTGTGTGTGTGTGTGAGAGAGAGAGAGAAAGAGAGAGAGAGAGGGAGGGAGGGAGGGAGGGAGGAGGGAGAGGGTTGTGTAATGTGCACCCCTGAACAAATACTGTAGGGGACATGAGCAGAGGATGTCATCATCTTTCAGTTTTCTTAACTTCTTGGTCATTGTTTGTTGATGTGGTTGTGGTTGTGGGTTGGTTTTGTTTTTTGTGTTTGTTTTTGGTTTTGGTTTGTTTTACTTTACCATTTCAAATTCTTTGTTTTTCTTTACTTCTGTCTGATTCCCTCTGTCAGTGTGGTCCAGGGATTTTCTATCGCTTCAATAGCATTAATGCACTCTTCATCTTTGGCCACATTGAAAATTAGCCCTAATGCCAAAGTGGCAGGAAGGCCTGTTGAATGTTGTAGCTGGTAATACGGTGGTCTCAGGAAAACCATCAGCCTCCCTTCCTTTCCTTTGGCTCAGCATCCTCTCAGGTGGCCTTCCATCCCCTTCCACTGCTGTACCTAAAGTACATGATACTCAAAGCCAACCATGCAGGGGGAGCTAATATTGCTAGGGTGAAAGTAATCTCTTTCTGCAGCAAGGAGGTAATTCCCTTTCTTTTGCTCAGGGTGCTTCCTCTCCCTCTTGTGGTGGAAAATTAGGAATTGACTGTATATTCCCATCTGTATTTTAAAATCTAAATTAGGCTAAACGGTCAGTGGCTGTTTCCATAGAAACCATAAGCCAGGCTGCCTATGGGATGTGAGGTTTTGACTGCAGAACTTGGCCATTATTGAGAACATTCTGTGAACAGCTCTGCCTACCTTTCCTCTAAAGGGAGAGGCCACAGTCAGGAGCACAGCCACCTTTCCAGACCACCCTTTCAACTCTTGACTTTTGATTTTGGCTCTTTCCCTGTGTGGTAGGTGGGAATCTGTCGTCCTGGAGATTTTGGGTCTGATGTCTCACACCTAAATCTTCACAAGACCTTCTGCATTCCCCACGGAGGAGGCGGCCCTGGCATGGGGCCCATCGGCGTGTGAGTTCTGGGCTGCTTGTTTCAGGAAGGTTTTAGAGATTAAGAATGAAAGAATGGCCCCCAATTCACTGTTCCTCTCATCAGGGTCTTCAAGTGTCATGGACACCTTCATATCTAGTGTGACTGGAGGGACTGGGAGAGAAGCAGTGAGAAGGATGACTTAGGGAATGTCCAAAGAGGAGCATAAGTAGATTTTATTAACCACAGTGCTCGATTGGCCACACTAAGCTCCCAGTCATACATAGACAGGGCAGGCTTGTGAGCAGAGCAATGAATAGGGAGTTTACTGGGGCATTATGGATCTGAACTGAAATATTAGCACCTGCAAGTGTCTCTTAGACTTTAATTTAGATTTCCAAGAAGGTTTTCTTTATTCATTTTTTTAAAAAAGAAATCCGCTGATGGTTACATTGAACATGAATTATCTATCAACAATGAAAGGAACTCAGAGGAGAAAAGTGCTTGCCAGGGGCTGGGGAGCAGGGGGGTGGGTAGGGAGAGGTTGGTAAAGGGCACAAACTTTATAAGATGTGTAACCTGTACAACACGGTGATTATGGACAACACTATACTGTATATTTGAAATTTGCTAAGAGAGTAGAACTTAAGTGTTCTCAACAAAGAAAGAAAAAGAAAGAAGTGAATTGCATGTAAAGTGTTAAACACTTTGCAGCCTGGATTCTTATTACATCTGAGATAAGTAAGGAGGAAACAGACCTTATTACTAGAAATAATTAGATGAAGTCAGAATAACACTAAAGGAATGTCTCCTAGCTGTTGATAACTTTTTATACTGTGAAGTTGAATCACCTTGTGAAAATGATGCTGAGCAGCCATTTTCTGAGTTTCTTCAGTTTTCCAAAAATGGACCAAGGGGCCCAGTCTTCAGCTTGCTGGGAACCTGGCCTCTTGCTTTTTCATGTTTTTTCTTTTTGATTATTATTTATAACAAGTGGGGGCACCTCAGTACCTCCACTGTAGGGGAGGTGGGGGAGTGATGTTCATGTGCTGGCCCTCTGATGTGTAGACCCATGGGGCTCCCTCTCAGCAGCACCCTCTATCCCTTAGATTCCTCAGGAAAGAATGTGGGGCGTGGGGCGTGGGGCTGGGAGGTCCCCACATCCTGGTGAATCCGTGGCTTACAAGCTCTTTCATGGCTGTCTAATTCTGCCAAATCCCCTGCTGTAGTTCTTGGGTGAACCACTGGGACACTGATGGCTGGTGAAGAGGAGGAAGGAAGGAATCCTTCCTGAACATCTGTTTCTTAGCAGGTGTTAGGTCCTTTCCACTCTGAGTTTCTCTACTAGAAATAGCGCTTTCTGAGAGGGCTCAGCTCTTGCCTGTTTTGCCTGTTTGGTTGGTCTGGATTTTTTTTATATCTGCTGAATTTGTGTTTAAAAATAACAGGAAGAAGCATCTTGCCCCTTTCCTGCCCAGTCATCCCATCATCTCAGTAAAGCCAAGTGAGGATGACCAACCTGTGGGTACTGTTAGCGCAGCCCCATGGGGCTCCAGTTCCATCTTGCCCATTTCGTGGGCCTATATTAAGGTGAGGCCTATGACTGTGTTAGGCGGGCGGGGGATGTGATATGTGGGTGGGAAACTATGACTGCAGACTTTCTCCTTGACTTAAAAATGAAGAAATCCAGGGGCACCTGGATGGCTCAGTTGGTTAAGCGTCTGACTCTTGGTTTCAGCTCAGGTCATGATCTTGCGGTCATGAGATTGAGCCCCGCATGGGGCTCTGTGCTCAGCTCAGAGTCGGCTACAGATTCTCTCTCCCTCTGCCCCTCCCCCGCCTCAAATAAATAAAATCTTAAAAAAAAAAAAAGAAATCTGTGATCTGAGATGTGATTCAGTGAAGATTGCTGACTTGGGTGGAAGAAACCTTCTTAAAGAGATCAGATAAATTTTATTTAATCTCTTCTTCATGGTGCTATTTCCTTTGGGTTCTCATAGTGGGTTTAACATCACAGAAACTGACATGCTAGATATATTTTTCCAGACCAAGTTAAGTTCCATGAGTCATGTGGATGTTCTGGCTATGTCATTTTAGTTTCCTGTAGGATTTGTATAGCCACTTGCAAGTGAAGAACAGTGCATATACTAATTACACTTGGTTGAAATCCTGGGATAAATTTTTAGGAATAAATCTCACATTGCTTTATATTTCTTAGGAACCTGGAAGATAAGATAAAAAATAGCAGAAATTTGCTTATGTGGTAGTTTCCCAAAGCTCTGCCCTTTACTGTAGAACTGTAATTCTCTGGGGTAATTAGACTTTGTTAGAGAACAGCTTTCCTTTCTTTGTGTTTATCCAAAAAACTCTAGAGCCAGAGTTTATTTTATACAGCTCTTGTTCAAATGGGCCTGCCCACCTCCTGGGTTGACAAGACTGTGCATTGGATAGGAACACTTGTTCAGCAGCTAATTAGGGCATCTTCCCAAACTGGCTTCCCTCCTTAAAGGAAGGGTGGCTTCTGGTGAAACAAGACTCCAAAACTCAGCTATGCAAGTCATGCTGGATGGCTCTCTGGGGCTGGCTGTTATTCTTAAACAGGGTGGCATTTATGCTTCTTAATGAAAATTTTCTGGGTAGCTGGAACAACAGTTCTGTACCTCAGAGACTAAAACCTCCTTTTAAAAATGATAGTTGCGTTGTTTTACAAATAGTAACAACAAAACAATCATAATAAAGGTCTGCTTCTTTGCAAACAGAATCTTATTCCCAGGTTCCTTTTGGTCCCTAGATCCTGTAAACCTGGATTATTTGTTATGGATATATTTGGGTTAGAGATTATTTCCCACATACAGAAAATAAATGCTCCAAAGCTGGTTTGGCCATATGCCAGGAATACCAGACAGAACCTCAGTAATAAATGAAATAAATAAAATAGGTTTTAAACTACCTTGACCCCTCTCTTTATTTCAGGCTGTTGTTACTTGCCACTTGCTCTAGAACTACCTTCTTTCCCTGCTTCAGTCCATCTTGGACACTCTCTATAGTATTGCAGGATTCCCTCTAAGACCCCAAATTATCTTCTGGTTTCCTTTTGCCTTTACTGCTCAGTCTTTCTAGCCTACACAGAATCCTTAGGGGATTCTTCCCAAAACGCACATGCCTAGGCCCCATCCCAGAGAGAATCAAATTCAGCATATGAGAGGTAGGGATTGGGCCATCAGACTTTCCAAGTGAGTCCGATGCATGAGTTGAGAGCCATTGGCTGCCTGAACCAAATCCAAGTTCTTCATAGCAAAGGTCTGAGGCTTATAAGAGGTCGTCACAGCTCACCAGCCTCTACAGTAACCCCCAACTGCAACCCTGTGCCTTCACTTCTACACCTTGGTTTTTTTTATTCTTATCACCTGGAGCTCCTTCCCCTTTCTTTTTGCCTCTCCAAATTCTACCCATTTTTAGATTTCCATTCAAGTTCTAGCTCTTACTCTGGTAATCCTTCTTTGTCCAGCTTGGCAAGATGTGTCCTCTCCTTTCTTTGGACGTTGGTGTCCCTGTTTTATTTGATGCTTTCTCATTTGATTTATATTAGTTATGTATTTGATATATACCAAGCCTCCATCATACATGAAGTATTCTGGGAGGAATGTCAACAATAAAATTGGTGCAATCTTGATTTTAAGCTCTTTGCTGGTGATAATGTTCACCCTGTATAACCACAGGGATTTAGAAAATACCAGAAAGGGATAATATCAACCCTGGCCGTTGTTAAACATATAAATGACCCTGACTATGGACAACTGTAAGACAAACCATACAAAATTGATTCAGTGGGGATTTTGGTCAAGATTGCACGAGATTTCTGGCAATTATCAAGACATCTCAGATTCACAGTAAACAAACAAAAGCTCTCCCAAATCCGTGTAATCCAAGATTCTTTTTCCTCTTTATTTTTTCTTTTTTTTAATTTAAATTCAGTTAACATATAATATATTATTTGTTTCAGGGTACAGATCTGTGATTCATCAGTCTTATATAATACCCAGTGCTCATTGCAGCACATACCCTCCCTAGTGTCCATCACCCAGTTACCCCATCCCCCTCCCCTCCAGCAACCTTCAGTTTATTTCATGTGATTAAGAGTCTCTTATTCTTTTTCCTCTTTAGGTAACACAATTATCAGCAGTCAATTTTGTCCTGTTGCAAGCTTTGTTATTTTGTTCCTTGTTACTTTTATGTTACTACTTTGTTATTTTTATAAGAAATATTAAAGTTATGTTCCAAGGAGAAAACCAAAATTTATTTGAGGCTTAGAGAAGACTGGCAGACCTCCTTGTTGGGATTTTATACCCATCTGTAATCCAGAATGATAGTGGGTTGACTCTCTTTGTAGGTGGGATTTATTTGGGGGTGTCTTTGGTTAGTGTCCATTGGGTTTACCTATTCTGTGGCTGATGACTCTTTTTCTCTCTGTTGCAGATGATGGGAGGCAAGGGCCTTAAACAGGCCACAGAAATTGCTATATTAAATGCCAACTACATGGCCAAGCGATTAGAAAAACACTACAGAGTCCTTTTCCGGGGTGCAAGAGGCAAGTATCAACCTTAGTTTACCATCATCTTGGTTTTTTCTTGACCAAGTTTGACCTAGTAGATGTGGTTTTCTGCAGTGGGTAGGAAACTTCTGTTTCTTAGCATATACCAGAGAAAAGCATAGATTTTTTTGGAAATAACTTCTATTTAGTGAACAGTTTAGGAGTATCACTATTTGGAAGGCTGTGTGATGCAGTTAGTGTACACAGCCCAGGTCAACAAGGAGCCACACCACTGAGAGATGTATACATAAATATCGTGAGCTCATTACCTCCCAAAGTGCTATGGGAATGCCTCTAGAAGAGGAGTAATTCAGACTGGGCAGAATAATTGGGAGAGCCTTCTGGGAGGAGCCCTTTGAGATGAGCCTGGAAGGGAGAGGAGCAACCTCAGTAAACAGAGACTGCAGCAAGCCAGAATTGTCTAGGTGGTGGGAGGCTTTGGGGGGTTGATGGATGGGATAGGAGGAAGGGGAGCAGATAAGAATGAAGTTGGAGAGGCAGCTTGGAGCCTTGAAGGTCTCAGAAGGCTCTCATCTTTACTCTTGAGCCAGATGACAGCCATGGAAGGTTTTTTGAGCAGGGGAATGACAGGATTAAGAGAATGGTAAAGTCATTAAGAAAATGGCAGGGGATGAACATCCTATTAGAAGTAGAATCAATAGGACTTAGTTACTGATTATTTGAGTGTGAAGAGCGATTCTAGGTAAGCCTCTTATGCTGATAATAGAGGTGCAATTGTGGGAATAATAGAAGGGGGGACAAAGTCACCCTGGAAGTGATGGGAGGGGACGGAGCCAGACAGATTTGCAGAAATTTGGCTTTGGGCACAGAATCTAGGAGCAGTCTCTTCGAAATGGTGAAACCCAAGAAAAGAGTTTTGAGAAACTAGAGCAAAACCCCTCAAGCAGATGGCTACATTAACAGGGATGAGCAGAAAAGGGGTACCTGATGAGGGCGGGCTCCATGTCTGAGGCAGCTTTAGAGCCTCTGCAGCATTTGTCACAGTGCCTCTCCGGAGAAAAGCCCCTGCTTGCCCTGTCTGTCTCTGTTCTGGCCTCATCTGATCCCTGTACCCTACTTTCCCTGGCACAGAGAACTACTCCTTCCTTTGCTCCCTCCACTACTGAGGATTTCTCCCACTCGGTTTCTTGTCTGGCTCTGTCCGTCAGACCTTGAGCAGCGTAAAGACTGTGCCTGCTTCCATGCTCCAGCACCCATACCTGTCAATCACTCCTGGCCCACCATAAATGTACACGGTGTTGCACAACCGGGAGAGACAGACTGGTCTTAACGACGGGAGTCTTAAACAAAACAACAAAACAAAACAAAACAAAACCTGCCTTTAACAATTAGGAACACTTTGGTCACCTTTGAAAGAATTAGGGCAAAAATGATAGGGGAGATGCCAAATGGAAATGAGCTGAGAAGTGGACTGAGGGTGGGGAAAAGAAGGGAGAGGCATTCATGGTTTGGGCGCGTTTCGTAGTGAAGGCAGTGGGACAGGTGGGGGCTGCTCCAATAGGATGCCGTTTTGTTTTGAAATAAGAAAAGAACATGATACTCACCTGCCAGAGAAAAGGAGTTGAAGAGGGGAGAGTGAAGCTACAATAGAGGGAGTAATAGGTCGCGAACAAAGTCATCCTGGAGGTGATGGGAGGAGACACGCAGCAAGTTGGCTGTGGGCACGGAGTCACAGACAGGGACAGATGGGGACTTGGAGCTTGGAGCAGAGAGTTAGCAGTCAGTAAGCAGCATGGGCCGAAAGAATGAGGTCTCTCTTGGGCTCTTTGTTTCTCCAGCTCAGGCGGAGTATATATCTACATCTGTGATCTTTAATTTAAAGGCTGGTCTTGCCTTAAAAATAGGTATCCAAAGGATTAGTTCTGTAGTTTGAAAATAGAAAAGAGCTAAATAACTAGTAGGTCTGGTTAGGAATGCTCCCCAGAGATTAGGAAAGAAACTTGTGGGCAATATGTCTCTAAGCAGCACAATAAAATGCTTCTGAGGTGGGTATTAAAGAATCTACAAGAGCTACTAATTAATTCATTCAAATATAGCTCCTGCCCTGTGAAATGCATTCTGCTTATGTATCGGCCTTTAGGATTAGTTTAAATACTTGTTTTGTCTGATTATGTAAGTAATTTTTATATGCCCAACATGGAAAATTTGGAAAATAAAAACCATGAGGAAGGAAACATAAATGATCCATGGTTTCATCAAGCAGACATAATCACTATTAATATTTTGCTGTATTTCTTCTTATCTTACATTTAGACCATGATATCATAATACAAATACAGTTTGTGTCCTGTTTTTTAACTTTATCTTATATTGTGATCATTTCCCCTTGTCATTAAATGTTATTTGAAAGTAGCTACATTGATTCTATTATATGGATATACCAGGATTTAGGTAATTGTGTTTTCCTCCTAGTTGTTTGCTTTGCATTTGCTACAACGAATATCTTTTTTATTTAGATTTTTAAAAAACATTTCTGATTATTTCCTGAGGTTAGAGCTGTAGAAGAGAAATTATTATTTCAGAGTATGAATGCATTTAGGCTCTTGGTATGTGTGGCCTGGTTGTCCCCACAGAGACTTTGTAACAGTTTATTTCATGCTAATAGCGTATGAAGTGACCATCACACCAGGGCCTAGTGAACACCAAGTGTCAGGCTGAAAAAACAACACCAACCAAAAACAAAGTATCTTTGCCATTCTGTGGTTGAAAAATGATTTTTTTGCTTTAATTGACGAGGTTTAGGGTTTTTTTCTGTTTATTTTTTTAAGGTATTTGAAATTTACTTATGATTAACTTTATTTGAAAACATTGAGACAGAATTCACATACCATACAAATGACCTACTTTAAATGTACAATTCACTGATTTTTAGTGTGTTCACACAGTTGTGCAATCTGAAGTTTAGTTTTTAAAGCAAGAATGTGTGTGATCGGGACTGCATGTGGGGTATGGTGGCGGTCTAGCAGAGAGGAAACTGAACAAGCAAGCCTACTCAGGTGCGTACCATGTGCTTAGCATTTGAGTGACTGCTTTAAGCAGAGACTGTCTCACACTCCTAGGGGATTTGCAGCACAGAATGATAGATGCAATTTCCATTTGTTTTGACATTTTATCCCAGAATCAAATAATAAATTGTATTTCTCATCCCACGCAGAGATATACTGGTGATTACAGACTTTATTACCCAATCCCAAAGTTCATGAAATTAAAAAACTGTCTCATGTTTGGTCTGGTAAACACATTCATTATATAATTTGAAGCTGAGTATTCTAGGGCCTAAAAAAGAATTATCACTGTACCTCCTGAGGGCCCAAAATAGAAATGTTCTTAATAAACGCATTGTAGTCCAAGATGTCTAATGGCAATATTAAAAGACCATTATTCATCTTAATCATATTTACTAGTTCTATATAAGACTTTGGAATTACAGATGACTACGAGGCAATAATTTTAATGAACTCCAGGCTTCCCTTTATGAACCATTTCTTCTGAGAGATTTGAAAATAACAGCTAAACCACTGAGGCTTATGGTTTTGTGAAGCAAGGAAGTGACAGGCAAGAATTGGGATGGGGGAAAAGCAGTAGTATTTCAGATGAGGAAAGAAAGGAATTACCTCAGGTAAAATGGCACCTTTTGTTTGTTTGTTTTAATTATAAATTCTTATTTATTGAAAGACATCCAGTTGAGAATTTTTTTTTAAGATGGTACCTTTTTTAAAGGAGGAATTAAAAAAAATTCACAGATGTCTACTCTTGGCAGGCTAAGCTCACTGTTTGATCTAAATGGAGTTTCTGTCAGCGGAGTAGGCAACTTTATTAGTATCCCAATGTTTTATTTATGTTTTAATTTCTTAAATGCCTATTCCTTTTTGACCTTAGACAAACCTAATGCTGCCTGGAAATTCCTATTCCTGAATTGGTTTCCCAGTTGCCTTTATGGGTAGACATGGGCCTCAGGGGATGGGCCATCACATCCCAGGCCAGGAAGTGACCCTCCTGAGGCCAGAGACCCCACCCACCTGACCTCATTTCCAGGGAAACCTTCAGTTTTGATTCTATTAGTAATGGTCCCTGGATTGCAACTGAAAAGCTTGACCAAACCCTGATTGCTCACCTAAGCATTATAGAGTAATTAGCCAGTGAGTTCCGTTTATCTCTAGGCAATCACTCTGAGGATGCGGAGCGGGAGGGAAGATGTTCCAAGCTTAGAGCCAAGCCACTTTTATTTTGCTTTTCCATCATGCCACCATCCCCTCCTTGTTCCTTTGACTTGGTATCTTTTCAGACTCTCCGCTATAGTCATGGTTAGGCCCAGCAGGAACGTCTACTCAGAGGAAATTAAAACTTGTGCTGATCAGTTTATATAATTTCTACTTCAAATTTTCCTGACTCACCATATGCCATAGAAGGTTTTCTATCTTTTCTCCTTAAAAAGTGTAAACAAAGACGAACATCTTGGCATCTGGCCTCTAACAGCCACCAAGTTTCCATTTCACCCCTTTCAGGGCTCAAGTACAGAAAGAATATGTTGAAATTCCACCGTTTCCATTTGAACACGTTAGGATATGGATTTAGAAAATAACATCTGAACCTCATTTTGAAAATGGAGCTCTTCCCAAACCGCCTGGCTGTGGTGGGGGCCCTGCAGACGCAGGCTTTGTGTTAGCAGTGCTGGGCTGGGCTCTGCGTGACTGAACTTCTCCTTGGAAGACTGCCCTCTGTCTGCCAGCAAGAGTGACTCCTTTCCTCCATCATGTGTCCCTCCTCCCCTCCTGCCCACTGAGCATCCTTCAGAGCAGTGAGCTTCATTAGCCTTCTTTCTTCTGTCACCGTCACGGTGCTGGGGTGGCAGCCAGAGGCTCAGAGAAGAAAGGTCAAAGGTTGAGGCTGGGCTACTAAAATGGGGTAGGGACAATTGTGTATTTAGGATTCCTAGACTTAAATGGTCTCACCATTCCTCCTTCCCCCCCTCCCCCCCCCCCCCGCCCAATATTCCAACTTGTCATTCCTTTTAGGTACCTTTCCCCCTGACTACCTAGCTATGAATACAACTTTCTCCTTTTGAATCCCACTTCTTACAAATTTAATCCCCATCACTGTTAGAAAGAATATTTAAAAAATATTCAGTGACAGTATATTTAAAGCTTCAGGTTCTCATACTTTCATTTTCTAACAAAACCAGTCCTTTCTTATCTATTCATTACATAAGAAGCAGAGCAGTTCCGGACAATCTCAGGGGCTATTAATGACTGGAGCTATTCTTCTTAGGCTTGAGGAATTATGTCTGCTCCACGTATCTGTAAGTAGAGTCATTGTTAGCTGAGAGTCAGGAAAGTAGGTTAAGAAGAAGGAGTACATTATTATCTCATGAGCAGATACTTTCTTGGAAGGAAACTCATCAGTTGTGTGGGCCATGGAATTTGGAAGCCCCCAGAAATGTTCTATTTATGAAAATGCTGACTGAGTTGATGGTTTGTTCCTGCTGATGGGTGGGGGATCAAACAGCTCATGCTGGGGAGCTAGATAGCAGCCTGGGCCGGGGGAGGCTGTCAGTTTACAAACTAGAGCAAAGAGAACGGACTCCCAGGGCCTTTGGCTTCTTCAGCTTCTTGCCATTTGTGGTGTGGTGTTTGACAGCTCCGATTTCTAATTCTCAGCTTGAAGCCTGAAACCAAAACCTCAAGAGCCCCTTTGAAGAATCACATACAATTATGTATGAGCCTTACAGGTCTAGGTTTACTATATATTTACACACACACAGGAGGAAGTTATTTGATCCTGGGGGCGGAGTTGCTGAAAACAGTATCAGTGGATCTTTAGCTCTAGAAATATTTTGTAATAAAAGGGTCAGGCCTGTGATGACATGTTTAACTGTTGGAAGATTTTATAACCTCAGAGTAGAAAAAACCTCATCCCCAGGAAATCTCCAGGCAAATAGTTCAGCAGTGCATTGGCACCAAAGTCCCACCTCCCATCAGCCTCTTGGCTCCGGGGTGTGTTGTGACATATTGGCCTGACGTGTTAAAAACATTTTTAATTTTACAATTATCTTTATAGTTATACTTATTAATAAAGTAGACGAGGTCTTTGTTGCCAGCTATAAACTTACCAAGTGATCATGGCTTCTTGGTACTCGTTGATATGTGATTTAAGCTGATTTATTTGTTCATTTGTTTGGGTAAAACAAGCTGATGCTAATCTTGAGCTGAAAAAATTTTCCAGGTTATGTGGCTCATGAATTTATTTTGGATACAAGACCCTTCAAAAAGTCTGCAAATATTGAGGCTGTGGATGTGGCCAAGAGGCTTCAGGATTATGGTGAGTGACCTTGTGGGAGAACTGCTTTTAGGGCAACTTAGGTTTTTGACATTCATGCAGCTTTCCATGCTGGCTATGGGCCACTTCCTCAAGGCACAAACCAAATGTGCAGGCACCATAGTAAACTGATCCATAGGCTAAACGGTGAGCCCAGGGTTCTAGGCAAGCTTCAAAATGATAGAGAAAACGCTTGCCCTATGAGTGCATTGGTAATACCCTTCTAAAGATATTAAATCATATATCTTGAATCCATTGGCATCCTAGAAGTCTTTGTAGTTAATAGAATTAAAAACCCCAAAGAAAATGGTTGCTGTTTCCTGTGTTTCTTCATTTATTTTTTATATTTTTAATTAAGTTTTTAATTTTAATTCCATTTACAGTTAACACAAAGTATTTGTTAGTTTCAGGTGTGCAATATAGTGATTCAACACTTCATACATCACCCAGTGCTCATCATGATAAGTGTACTCTGTGATTCCCAGCACCTATTTCATGCATCCCCCCACCCACTTCCCCTCTGGTCACCATCAGTTTGTTCTCTGTAGTTAAGAGTCTGTTTCTTGGTTTGCCTCTCTCTCTGTTTTCCCCCTTTGTTCATTTGTTTTGTTTCTTAAATTCCACATACGGGAAAATCATATATTTGTCTTTCTCTGACTAATTTATTTTGCATAGCATTATACTCTCTAGCTCCATCTGTGTTGTTGCAAATCTCAAGATTTTATTCTTTTTTATGGCAGAATAATATGTCATATACAACATCTTCTTTATCCATTCATCAGTTGGTGGACATTTGGGCTCTTGCCATAATTTGGTTATTGTAGATAATGTTGCTCTAAACACTGGGGTGCAGGTATCCCTCTGAATCTGTATTTTTGTATCCTTTGGGTAAATACCTAGTAGTGCAATTGCTGGGCCGTAGGGTAGCTCTATTTTCAACTTTTTGAGGAACCTCCATACTTTGTCCAGAGTGGCTGCACCAGCTTGCATTCCCACCAACAGTGTAGGAGGGTTCCCCTTTCTCCACATCCCCGCCAACATCTGTCATTTCCTGACTTGTTAATTTTAGCCATTCTGACTGGTGTGAGGTGGTATCTCATTGAGGTTTTGATTTGGATTTCCCTGATGCCAAGCGATATTGAGCACTTTTTCATGTGTCTATTGACCATTTGGATGTCTTCTTTGGAGAAATGTCTGTTCATGTCTTCTGCCCACTTTTAATTGGATTATTTGGGTTTTGTGGTTTTTTGTTTGTTTTTTGGTGTTGTCTTGTCTATGTTTCTGATAAATTCTTACTACTGTTCCACTCTTGGTAAACAAAGGAGTCCATGAAGAGATCAATTGGTGTAATGGTGAAGGAAGTAGAGCAGGTAACCTGTAGAAGTGTTCAAGACCAATGGCATTTGAGTTTTATAAGCACCTCAGTCATGGCATAGCTATTTCAGCTGCTTCTATAGATGAAGGAATAGGCTTCCTTCACCTCAGGAAGAATTTCCTCCACCACAGGAATATGGTTTCATAAAGACAGTGCAGTTTTCCTGGAAGAATTTTGAAAGACACAGGCCCTTATGAATTAGTGGATGTTCATTCAGCACAGTCCTTATTGAAATACATGCTTTAATGACATTATCAATAATATCAAAGACGCTTCAATTCTCAGAAAGGCTAAGGTGGGGAGAACTTTGCCTTTCAGTGGGTGTGGAGTCCTATCTGAATTTTAATAATTTGAATAACTTCTCTTAATAAGGAAAGTGAAAGCTTCAGTAATTTAATGACTGCATCATAATGGGAGTCCCACATGTGTGGCTCATTCCTCTCCTGGATGCATGATCTTATTAGGCAGAGTTATACTAAATGGGAAAGCCAGAGAAAGTTTTCATTAATGAAATTAGCAGTTACTCCCTCCAAATCTCTTGGTTGCTCCCGTGACCTGACTCGGCCTCCTGGCTAATGGCTGAGTGATGGAGATTCAGGTGGGCTCTAGCTTCGCTTCTGAGATGTGTTGTCCGCATCACATGTGTGGCGGCGGCAGCATTTGCAGGGAGGGAGAGGACGGGCTAGGAGGGAGTTGTAGTGCAAGTCACGACCCAGTATTTCCAAGTTTTGGTCTGTCTCCAAACTTGACATTATTTTGGTGTTTGATAGGGTGATTGCCACACTTGCCCCAAGTCTAGAATTGTACAGGTGCCTAGCACTTAGTAAGCACCTCAGAACTTACATGTTTAGTAAATGAGAGAATGGGGTGCCTGGCTGCCTGGCTGCGGAGCACGCGACTCTTGACCTCAGGGTCGTGAGTTCGAGCTCCACACTGGGTGTAGAGATTACTTAAATAAATACACTTGAAAAAAATGTGAGAGAATGAATGAATGAATGGCTAAGTAAAAACACACACACAAAAACAAAACAAAAACCACCCCCAAAAACCCCCAAAATAGCAATTGAGAATGACAACACAGATTCTTAATCACACCTACTGAATCAAAGTTTCCAGGGGAGAAGCCTCCTAACCTGTATATTTAACAAGCATCCCGCAGATGAGTCCTAACAGCCTGATGTGGGGCACACTGCCTTAGGGCAGAGGTTTCCAAACTTAGTGAGTGATAAGAGTCACAGGGAGAGTTTTTAAGACTCATAGCTTTCTGAGCCTTACTTTGGACTTCTGAATCAGGGTGAAGATCCAAGAATCTGTGTTCCTAAGACAACTGATGGTTTTAAGATATGGGAACCACTACAGCAGAATATGTTGGGCTGAATTTGCTCACACATGGAATTGAGGTTGGACTTAATGGGTAATGAGATTAGCTTGTTTTTTGTTTTTTTTTTTTAATATTCTTTTCTGGTTTGAGTGACATAGTTCTATGTATTTGTCAAAACTGTGCATTTTGCTCTATGTAAATTTTATCACAAATACATGTGAAGAGATATTGAATTCTAGTTAATAATATGCATGCTGAACTATTTAAGGGAGAAGTGTACTGATGACTGAAGCATACTTTGAAATGCATCAAAAATAAGATGGAAGGATGAATAGATATGTGATTAAGCAAACAGAGCATCATTGTAGAATCTAGGTGAACAGTGTATGGGTCTTCACTCTATAGTCTTTTCAATATACTGTTTGAAAATGTTTATAACATGTTGAGGAGACAATCCCTTAAAGCACACAGGCACGACCCTAAAGCACGCCATGTGATTTATGCAGATCAGAATTTGGGACCCATTTAAACTTAACTGACAGATATATCAATTTTGGGGCTGTTCGTCATCATTTCACAGTTTCATAGAAAAAGGGTAAGAAGTGGGAAAAGGTTGTTTTTGGCTTTTGTCCAGGAAATCTCTCTCAAGCATGTGTCATTTTACATATGAAAACTTTTGGAAACAGAAATACCTTCAGCCTGTATTCAGTGTAAAGACAAAAGGCTTTCCATGGTCAAGGCTCAGTTTCCTCCTCTATAAAATGGGGACAGTAACACTCACTTCAGGCTTATGGTTGCTATCTTGTTATTTAACTTGTGATAGGCTATGATATTTCAATTTCTCTTAATTGCAAGTAAAACACAAGCATTATAGATTCTAAAACAAAATCAAAGTGAAATAAAATCTTAGTCTCATACTTTGGTGATAACCCCTGTTAAAATTTTAGTATTTATTCTTCAAAGTGTCTTCCTTCATAAGATATATATACATAAACACTTTGTCACATTTTTTTAAATAAAAATGGAATATCATTATTATGTAGCTTGCTTTTTTGATTTAATATTTTTTAATGTTTACCCAATTTAGCAAATATAAATTTACATACATTTGAAGTGTCTGTAAAACTTGCTTAACTGATCCTCTGTTGTTGGATGTTAGTTTATTTCCTAAGTTTTTCTTTTTTCTTGCATAAACAGTGCTGAGATGAATCCATATATATATGCAAATTATATACTAGGCACATTCATCCAGTGATTTCCTTGACACAACGGGGAGGGTCTCTTCTAAATTGGGGAGGTCAAGGTTAGTGACACAAGACCCCCTATCTGCTTTGCAGGTTTTCATGCCCCTACCATGTCCTGGCCGGTGGCAGGGACTCTCATGGTTGAGCCCACTGAGTCAGAAGACAAGGCAGAGCTGGATAGATTCTGTGATGCCATGATCAGCATTCGGCAGGAAATTGCTGACATCGAGGAGGGCCGCATTGACCCCAGGGTCAATCCACTGAAGGTGTGTAGGCGCTGGTACTCTATCCGAAATGTCCCATAGAGAAGACTGGGTATGGACAGGGTGCCAGCAACCCCTGAACTCCCATCAGAAGGTGAGATTATTCTTGCCTAGATTAAGACCATTCTTCTGAACAAATTCATTGCTTGCAAATTTAGATCTTCTTGAACAACATAGTAGCAGTTACTCAAGTATAAAGTGGATGTTTTGAGATATGTTTTAATTTTGTTTATGTAATTGTTTTGTCATTGTGGGAGGTATACCTCCCACGTGCACCCGACTGGTTGCCAAAGGAGGGAGCAGAGGCTAAGAGCTATCTATTTGGGGAGTCTTATTCTTATTCTATGTCTCTGTTTGATGCACTCTAGTGAGATTATTTACCTCACAAACTCTGGATAAAGACAAGTTCTTATATTGGAGTAGTTATCTCTTAGAACAACTAACTGGTACTTGGCCTTTTATAATGTTATGGCCTATTTTTGGAGAAAATCTGAAACATGTTTATTGTGAGCTCTAAGTCTCTCATTAGGTCCAGGCATTATTAAGCTGGGGGGGGGGGGGTCATGAATTGAAAATACTGTGAAGACTGTGGTTGCACTATTATGGCCCCAAGCCAGAGAACAAGTCTGAGATGCTTGGGGAAGCTCAGGCAAGTTCCAAGGTGCCCAGCTGAAGGTGGAGTACCCAGGCCAGTGACTGGCAGGAGAAGGCATCTTGCTTATTATTATTTCTCTTTTCTGTGGATACTGCTGATTCTTTAAGGATTTAGGCCATTTTTAAAAATGGCAATAGACATCTAAAGAACATAATACTAAGTTACAAAAACAAGTGGAGAATAATACAGGATGATAAGATTTTAAAATGTGCCCAACTATGCTATATGCTGTTTATGCATATATGCAGTAATAGTATAAAAACAATCAGCATGGTGAACACCAAATTCATGATAGTGGTTATCACCAGGGAGTAGGGTAAGAGATGAGATGGAGGGGATATATAGGCAGCTTCAGATGTATCTGCAACATTGTTTTATTCATTTTATTTGACACAGAGAAAGAGCCCAAGCAGGGAGAGGGGGCGGGCAGAGGGAAAAGCAGGCTCCCCTTGGAGCAACCCAGGACCCCAGGATCATGACCTGAGCCAAAGGCAGATGCTCATCCGACTGAGCCACCCAGGCACCCCTGTTTTATTTATTTATTTATTTTTAAGACTTCTTTATTTTGAGAGAGACAGTGAGCACAAGTTGGGGTGGGGAGGGGCAGAGGGAGAGGGAGAATCTCAAGCCGACTCCTGGCTAAGCATGGAGCCTGGCACAGGGCTCAGTCCCAGGACCCTGAGATCATGACCTGAGCCAAAACCATGAGTCGGACACTTAACTAATGGAGCCACCCAGGTGCCCCTCTGCGATGTTTATTTTAAAAGATTAAGCAAATATGACAAAATGTTGATTTATGTTGGTTGGGTGGTAGATGTTCTAATATATTACCATAACTTTCTGATATTTGAAATATTTCACAATAAAGTTTCCTATCAACATTTTCTCCCCCTTAAGTTGAAATTAAACAAAACAACCACGCTGTGTCCCTGGGCTTCCATCAGCTCACTGGCTGAACAAAGCACAGGAGGAGAAGGCAGTATTCTCTCTGATCCCTTTCCCATCTGTGTGTTTCAGATGTCTCCACATTCCCTGACCTGTGTCACATCCTCCCACTGGGATCGGCCTTATTCCAGAGAGGTGGCAGCTTTCCCACTTGTAAGTTCTCCTCTGAAGCTGCCTGTGCCGGGTAGTAGAGTGTTCATGTGCATATGAGGGGCCATCACCCATCTGATGGGGCTCCCGTCCTTGCAGCCTCATTATAGTAACTCTATGTGGGACGCTTTTTTTTTTTTTTAAAGATTTTATTTATTTATTTGACAGAGACACAGCGAGAGAGGGAACACAAGCAGGGGGAGTGGGAGAGGGAGAAGCAGGCTTCCTGCTGAGCAGAGCGCCAATGTGGGGCTCGATCCCAGGACCCTGGGATCATGACCTGAGCCGAAGGCAGATGCTCCACCACTGAGCCACCCAGGCGCCCCGGGACACTTTTTTTTAAAATATAGATTTTATTTATTTATTTACTGGAGTGAGTGAGAAAGAGAGAGCTTTTGTGGGGGGTGGGGGGAGGAGCAGAGGGAGAGGTACAAGCAGCATGGAGTTCAATCTCATGACCCTGAAATCATGACCTGAGCTGAAATCAAGAGTTGGATGCTTAACCCATTGAGCCACCTAGGCACCCCTATGTGGGACACTTTCCTAAATAGGTCATGACAAGTGATGCAGAGCACAGGCTTTGGCTTTCAGGGCTCTGAGGTCAGAGTGTCAGCCATAGGCTTGGGAATCCACTGGGTACACAGTGGAGGAAGACCAAATAGGAGTCCCTGTCAAATTTCTACTGTTGCCCCAAATGCACCAAATACAGTCTTTGTTTCCTTTCTGAGTCTTACATGAAAAAGGTACTCCATAGTCTGGCAGGGTGGAGACAAGAGTCAAAAGTTGGATTTGGGGGGACAATAATGAAGGGGTGGCTTATAACTTTTTTTTGTATTGGAATATAGTTGACACATAATGTTACATTAGTTTCAGGTATACCACATAGTGATTTGACAACTTGATACATTATGCTATGCTCACCACAAGTGTAGCTACCATCTGTCACCATAACAAATGCTATCACAATACATTGACTCTATTTCCTATGTGGTACCTTTTATCCCCCTGACTTACCCCTTCCATACTTGGAAGCCTGTATTTCCCATTCCCCTTTACCCATTTTGCCCATCCCCCACACTCTCCCCTCTGGCAACTATCAGTTCTCTGTATTTATGGGTCTGTTTCTTTTTTCTGTGTTTTTAGATCCATGTAAGTGAAATCATATGGTATTTGTCTTTCTCTGTTTGATGTATTTCACTTAGCATAATACTCTCTAGGTCCACCCATGTTGTCGTAAATGGCAAGATCTCATTCTTTTTCATGGCTGAATGATAGTCCAGTGTATATGTGTGCACACACATGTGTGTATACATACATATACATACACATCTTTATCATCTGTTGGACACGGGTTACTTCCATATTTTGGCTACCATAAATAAAGCTGCAATAAAAAATAGGAGTGTCGGTTTTACCTTCTTCTACTTTAGGGCACTTATTGGGGTTAGGCTGTGGGATATCACTGCAGTCTCCTCTTTCCCCAAGAGAAATGTTTCAGAATACCCCAGAACATTTCCATCTTTTGTCCCTTGCAGCCCTTTGTGAAACCAGAGAACAAATTCTGGCCAACCATTGCCCGGATTGATGACATCTATGGAGACCAGCACCTGGTTTGTACCTGCCCACCCATGGACGTTTATGAGTCCCCATTTTCTGAACAGAAGAGGGCCTCTTCTTAGTCCTGTCTCCCTAAGTTCAAGCGACTGACTTGATGTCTTTCTCTGGAGCATTTGATGAGCAAGAACTATATAATTTCCCATCCCAGACTCAACTTGGGGTTTTATATACCGTGTATATTTTTGTAATCTCTGTCAAGGTAAATGTAAATACTATTAGCATAGTGAGTGGAAACTCGTTGGAAGACCAACATGCCTCAGTGCCTGCTTCCACATGTAGCAGTTGATGTTCCAGTTGCCTGGATTAGGAACCATTTAGTTTTTTTTCATAGAAAATTTTGGGTGTGCTAGGAACTTTAACTTTCAATGTAGGAAGTTCAGAGACATTATAGAGGTTATATTGTAGACTCCGGTAGATTCTTGGTCCAAATAAGTCCTTGTGGACTGTGCTATCTGTGAGGAATCCCAGGGCAAATGTTTACATTTTCTATACATTGAAGAAAATTTTTCTCTAATTTGCCTAATCTGTAATAGCATTTCTGAGTGTTTTCCCTTTCCCATGTGTGTGGTTTCCTTTTATCTGCAATTATTAGTATTCTAATAAAAGCATTTCAATTTGAAGAATGCCTTCTTGGTCCATTTTTCATGCTTATTTCCACATAGCCTAAGTTCAGAGAGATTTGAAGGGCAATGAGAATACCCAACCCAATAGCCATTTTTACATTAATCAGTTTTGTCTAGCAGTTTTTCTCATTAGACACTAAGTCCAGAGATAATAAGCCAAGGTCTAGTGTTCCTCAGTCTTTCTGTTGTGCCTTCCTTTGTATGTAATCTTCATCCTCATAGTCTTAAGATGGCTCCTGCATATTGACATCACATAACCATTCTAGATAGGAAAAAGGGAGAAAAAACAAAGAAAAAAGGCAAATTCCATCCACATTGACTTCTTTTGAAATGCTTCCCAGAGACTCCACCCAGTAACTTCTGCTTGCTTTTGGCCAGAATTGTTTCACATTGCCACTTCTACCTGGGTATGTTAGTGCCCCAGAGGAAGTCAGGAGTTTGTTAGATAAATAAAAGGGGGGATATGGGTTTCAGGTAGGCAACTAGCCTGGCTGCCACAAAATAACTTTCCCCTAGATACAGCAAATGCTTCAGATTTTCTTCCCTGATTGTGAGCACTTGTTCGATTACTTGGTTCTTTGCATGGCAGCTTACTCAATCAGCCATTATTCAAGCTATTATGATAGTCAACTGAAGAAAGGTCTTAGTACTCTATTGAATGCTCTGCAAGCGGTTCACTTATTCTCACACTTCAAATGTTTGTAGAACAATTTATTTCAGCCTAACTAAGCAGTAGAGAAATGATGGGATCCATGTTTGTTTGTTTTTACATTATAATTAAATGGTTAATATTTATTGAGTTCTTCTCTGGGGTTAGGTACTATTCGAAGTGTTTAAAATGTACTATCATTGGAACCTCACAACAGTCCACTTTTACACAAGAGGGTATGGCGAGATGCCCAAGGTCACACAGCTGATTCAAGGGAGAACCTGAATTTGAACCCAGGCTGCAGAACTCCAGTGGCAGCTGGTCAAAACAGGTTACCACACTGCCACGGTTACTATATCCCTGGAGATCTGCCTCCCTGAGCTGGAAACCAGGCTCTCAACACAGACTAGCCCTCAGGGTATGGAATAGTCCCTTCGGAGGAAGGACAGCATATGGAAACAAATCATCAAAGGTGAACAGCAGCTCTTTTCTTTTCACTGTAAAGTATATCAGGGGCAAATGCAGGTGATTAAATATTCAAATTGTCCTTCACTATTAAGTTGCTCGTATGTTCACCTGATGCTTGTGCACATCTTTCCTACCTCTGGGTCTTTGCCTGAGTGGTGTCCTCCACCTGGAGCACTCTCCCCTGCTCCCTTTGCTTTACTGGCTCCTGTTTGTTCATTTTAGCATTTCCTCAAGAAGGTCTTCCACAGTCCCCCACCCCCCACCCCCAGAGTAGCTATGAGCAAGCGGAACCAGGTTTCATACGTGTGGCAGGCCAAACCGGCGTTCCTGGCCTGCTTCAAGGAACGGGTCAGCTACAGGTAAGGGCCTACCGTGGAAACCAAGGTGAGCCCAGGCCAGTCGCGTTACCTCAGAAACACGGGTCGCCCTGCCACTTCTGGCTTCTGCCTGGACTTGGAGGCCAGGCACTGACGGTTCCTCACTCTCACCTGCGCCCAGCTGCGAATCTGGATGGGCCTGAGTCCAGGCTGGTCCTTTTCGAACAACTACAGCCTTGTGTGCCCAGGAAGCTATCTGTCGTTGTTCGTCATGCTGCTGTGTTCTTGAAAATGACTTGATGCTGGTAAAGCGCTCCGTCCTTGATAGATGGTTCAGAAAGATCACTTTCCTCTCTCATCTTATTTGCTTAACCCAAAACCTATAGTTAGCAGGATGAGTGGTAGCTTAGTCCCGTTTTCCAGATAAAGAAACGGAGGCCACTCGATCAAATGACCTGATGTCCTAGGCCTGGAGTCTGCAGCATCTTTGGAAGAATGCCCTGGATCTATTTTTATGCTTTGTTGTTTACCACACCCCTCTCCCCCCCCCAAAAAACAAGCATGTTTAAGAATATCCTGGATCGGGGCACCTGGGTGGCTCAGATAGTTAAACATCTGCCTTCAGCTCAGGTCATGATCTCAGGGTCCTGGGATCGAGTTCCACATTGGGCTCCTTGCTTGGCAGGGAGCCTGCTTCGCCCTCTGCCTGCCACTCCCCCTGCTTATACTCTCCCTCTCTCTCCCTCTGGCAAATAAATAAATAAAATCTTAAAAAAAAAAAAAAATCCTGGATCTAGGGGGCCCTGGGTGGCTCAGTTGGTTAAGCAGCTGCCTCTGGTTGGGGTCATGATCTTAGGGTCCTGGGATCGAGCCCCATATCTGGCTCCCCACTCAGTGGCTCAGTGGGGAGTCTGCTTCTCCCTCTCCCTCTGATCCTCGTCCCTGCTTGTGTTGTCTCAAATAAATGGATAAAATCTTAAAAAAATCTTGGATCTAAATAGAAGAGGAGCTTCAGGAAAGAGCAAATCCTGAATAGTTTAGGGATGAGGACTGGTGGGAATCAATTTCTGAGCCCTCCCAGGGGCTAACTGGTTCACACCAAAACCTGCCCCACTTTCAACAGGAAGGGGCTGTTACGCTTAGGGATTCTGTGGAGAAATCAAGAATTCATTTAGAAAAAAAAGAAAAAGGTCTTCCACACGTCTGTGAAATGTGCTATTATTTTGTATCTTGGCATTCAGCTTGCTTGCCTTTACCCTTAGCACAATTAGTAATTACCCTGTTTCCCTGTTTCCTTGGTTTTCTTCTGCTTCACCAGACTAAGTTCCCTGAGAGCAGGGACCATATCTCATTCATCATTGGATTCCCAGTGCTGAGCCAGGGTCTTCCACAGAGGGTATGTTCAACCGCAGGAAATAGGAATTGAGTAAAGGAATGATCTTTCATCTTAAAAGAGGGGCACTGTCATGGAAACCAGTATTTCCTGCTGTAATACCTACTGCAAGTAGTTGTTAAAGTACAAAATGCCAGGCCTTAAAGACAAGGCACACAGGCTTTGTACAGGATGCCCGTCCCGCCCCCCCCCCCCCAGCCCCAGCTCTTTTTTATTGTGGTAAAATATACATAAAATTTACCATTTAAAATTATTCAGTTCAATAGCATTAAATACTTATACAGTGTTGTGTCGAATGTGCCTTTTGAGCAGTTTTGAAGATGAGGATCTGAGGTAGACATGCACAGACTTCATATAAATGGGGCACTGCCCTCTGCCTTCTCCCAGCCCTGGGGCTGGCCACCGTTGGAACAATCATTGCCTTGCTGCTGTGTATGATAGAGGGCAAGGGCCCAGTGTGGAAACCCCATGAAACCTCTATATAAATACAGGGGCCAAGTTTTCCAATGACAAAACTGGTGCCTATCATCCAAATAAAGGATGTAGGTACCACTTTTGGGTACAAGAAGCCATCTGGGACAAGTAGTTTGGGAGCTGAGGTGTTAGCACTTTTAGAGGTTCACAGGGCTCTGGGTCAGAATGTTTAGTAGGGTTTTTAATTGGCCAAGGTCAGGTATGTGTCCTAGGGCAGTAATTTTCAAACCTTAGTGTGTACGGACTACTAGGAGGGCTTGTTAGGCCCTGGCCTCAGAGTTTGATACAGTTCTTAGGCAGAGCCAGAGAATCTGCATTTCTAACATGTTCCAGGTACTACTTCTCAGCCTTCTTTGTTCACATTTCAAACAGTAAAGGATGGGTTTTGGGAGGGTGAAGGTGGGTAAGAGGCTGGACTTTGTCAGCCTTGCATTTTTTTTTTTAATTTTTAAAATTTTTTAAAGATTTTATTTATTTATTTGACAGAGACACAGCGAGAGAGGGAACACAAGCAGGGGGAGCAGGAGAGGGAGAAGCAGGCTTCCCGTGGAGCAGGGAGCCCGATGCGGGACTCGATCCCAGGACCCTGGGATGATGACCTGAGCCGAAGGCAGACGCCCAACAACTGAGCCACCCAGGCGCCCCTAGCCTTGCATTTTTTGTGCAAATCTTACCATTTCGAAAAAAATCCCTCTTTCCCTTGCTTTCATTGAGGATCCTATGGCAGGAGGAGGCTATTCAGGAGTAGAAGCAAACCAGCGCTTTGGCCACGCTTCTCATCTGGTAGGCTTGTTCCTACCAGCATTGCATCCAGAATCAAGGAATTTTTTTTTTTTAAGATTTTTATTTGTCAGAGAGAAAGAGCATAAGCAGGGGGAGCAGCAGAGGGAGAGGGAGAAGCAGGCTCCTCACTGAGCAAGGAGCCCCATGTGGGACTCGATCCCGGGACCCTGGGATCATGACCTGAGCCGAAGGCAGACGCTTAACGACTGAGCCACCCAGGCGCCCCAGCATTTGGTTATTTTCATATGTAAAGAGCTGAATCCCTGGATAGGGGAAAGAGAAGATGAGGAATAAAAGTTGAGGTTGGGGAGAGGTGTGGGACTTCTAGGAGTTAGGAATGGTGAGGAGGGGTTTTAGCCTAGAGTCAAGATCACAGGGAATGAAAATAGGGTCCAGAGAAGAAAGGGACCCTGACTCAGGTGAAGGGCTTTGAGGAAAAAGAAAAGGAGAAAAGAAATGGGGTGGGTGGAGGTCCTTGGGTCAGGAAGAGATGGAAGGATCTGTAATGGAGGACAAGAAGGCACAGAGTAGGATAGAAAGTGGGAGAAAGATGCAAGAAGGAAATGGGGGAGGAGATAGGAAGGGCCTCTGGTAAGGATGGGGAGAAGGAAAGGATTAAGATGTGGAAAGAGAAAGAATATCATCAGCTCAATGACCAGACAGAAGAGTCAGAAAGTGGTGGGATAGGAGAGATGGGAGAAGGATCTCCACAGTGTCAAGTAAGAGAAAGGAGTCAAGAGCATGAGAAATAAGGCATGGGTCAGAAAGTGAGAGAGGACTCCACCAAATTAGGAAGAGGACAGGGAGCAAGATGAGAATGGGGAAGGGGGATGGTTAAAAAGGATGTTGAGTGCAATTCTGGGAGGGGCTTAGGTCAACAGCAGGGTGGCCTCTTGGTAAAGGGGTAGAGAGA